GGCGAAGATTATAAGGGAACGCAGCGCGCCATGAAACTCGTCTTGAGGCCGCGACTTTCCAAATGCAATTGTGAGTGATCGTGCTGTCTCAGCTTATCTTTAGGTGGGCTATACGCAGTGACCTAGCTGTATGTTTCGGCTCAGCATTAAGCCGAACATGGCTCTGTATGACCAACTTTTCACTTTCATGCATAAATCCTCAGCAAAATAATTTTAATGGTCTATAGCTTCGTCCAGAAAAGCGAAAAGCAAATGAGAAAGACAGATTCGAAGTCAGCGCTTCTGCATCCAAGGATATATAGCATTTTTGAATTAGCCACTTTTATATCCGATCATTCCTTTGTTAGTTCGAATAAGAGGTATGTTTGAAAAGTGGGGAAGAGGGATATAATTTTTGAAGCAGTGAATCAACTGGTCTCTCAGAAAGAAAGTGGAAGTCCTGGAACAAAGTCCACAACATAGTCCTGGAACGAACCTTACTCGAAAAAAATTTCAGGTGCTGGTAGCGCTTTTTTCGTCCCTTTATCCACTCGGCCCTCCGATACCCATAAATTTCTTGCGCGCAGCGATTGTCTTCTGTCACGATCATGACTGGCATCATATCAAAAGCAGATTGGAACAGGTAGATCCAAATTCATTCTCATAACTTCGTTCATTATTTTTTCCTCAAGGATCTCCTGCAACAACCACCAGAGACGCGTGAAGCATATCGCGATCAGATCATCTTTGCAGAAAAATTCAAACTCACCAATATGCTCACAGTTTCCATCCAAAGAGCTGAGGGGAGGTGAGTCGTCAATCGTGAAGAATTTTATCAGTTCTGCAAATCTAAGTGTTATAGCTGCAACAAGTTTGCAAATGAACTCATCAAAAACAACGAGTTGAGTATGATTTCTCTATCGACAAGAGATTTAATCATGGATCGTGTGTGCAGCGGTTGGGGTTTGGAGCCGAAACATGTGAACAGATTAGCGACGAGGTCTACTTTGACAATTCTTGAAAATTTTGCCGGGGCTCGTCTGTTATTAGCACGCCTCGTGCGACCGCGGCTGTGCCAATGCTGTGCCGGCACTGAGCCCTCCAACCATGAATACAACTTCGACATCATCAAGTTTTTTTTTTCAGAGAACCAACGTCGTTTCGTGAACGTCAAATTGGTCTCATACGTGGTGGACCACGCGCGTTCGAAGATGAACGTAACGCTGCTACGCTTGCAGAGATGGTGTCTGATTATTACTTTGGTCCTGTGGGAGAAATCA